AAAGACTCTGATAAATGTGTCTAATTGAAAATTATGGAAAAGAGTTAGATAACTTTTTTTCTCCCTCCTTGCTCCCCCCCTTTACTGAGGATCTCTCCATTATCCCCAGAACTCACGTTTGGTCTTGCATTTGCTATTCAGCTTTTATTTTCCTAGCCTACACTTGAATCACAAATTTGCAAGGAGAGGAAACAAGCACATTCAAAAGGAGAAAATAAGAGTAGTTTTTCATTTTTTTTTTTGAAATGAATCGGATGCCCTATCCAAAGCCCATTGAATTCCATGTGAGTTTTTCCCCTGACTTCAATGGGCTTTGGTTCTGGCTTTTAGCTCCCATGAAAGGTCCTGAACTGTCTGTGCTAGGGTGACAAGGAGGCTTGGATAGACAATTATCAGAGCTCTTCTTAGCCCCTGACGCAGCCAGGTTGCTAAGGAGATTTGGCCTCAGGATGGGTCCCAGAGCTCACCCCTTCCGGGGTTATTGTCTTCTCTCCCTGCCAAGGCACTCCAGTAGTGGCAGAGCCACTCTTTCAGTCACAACATGCTCTACTTCAGCCCCTGGCAGCAGCAAATCCTGCCCTACATCTTCCCTCCACTGGCATGCTCGGTGAGCAGCCTCTCTTCTGGCAGTTTTTTCATCCTTGCACCTCCTGCACTAGGACTGGACTGGTGGGATTGCATCTTCTGCTCTCTGTTGGCTGTGAAACACAGGGTTTTGGCCCCTGTCACCCCACCTCCATACCCCAGCATCTTCACCTCATACGTTTGCATCGTGGCTTTCCTGTCTGTCTCCTCTCTGAATTCCCTCTGAGTTGGTGGCAGCTGGTCAGCAAAAAAAATTGGAGGAGGTGAAGTCAAGGATAGGAGGGAGAATGAGGCCTTTTTGTAGGAATCGCCTGTTGTGGGCCTTAAACTTCTTAAAGTGCCAGTTCTCAGGACTTCTTGGGAAGTGTGTGGGCTCTGGTAGTCATTTCCAGGATAATTCTTCCTGTCACTTGTCCCTCTGTCATCTGTGGCAGGATGCACTCTCACCCATCTCCAGGTGTTCCACAAGGCTGGGAGCTTCCTGGGAACCTTCCATTGCACCAGTTGTTCGGAAACTTGGAATTTCCCAGCTTTTCTGGATTCTTTGCAGCTTTCTCTCTTGGAGGAAGGGATTCTGAAGTTTTAACATTAACAGGCTAAATGACAGTTTCTTCTAAGCCGTTGGGCAGGTCTCTTTGTCAGTCGTCTTTTCAGATAGCGAGTCTGTTTGACTATAGATAAGCAAGCAGAATTGCTCAAGCTATTCTGAGCAGAAATGCTTAATCCCTGGGCACTTTTATGGTGGTGTAAAATTTAGATGCTTGTAGCCTTGAACATCATATTCCTCACCTGAGCAATCATTTTCGCTCTGCCTTCTGTAGATAATTGACTCTTCAAATGGGGATGATGATGGTTTTGTGGCTAAACTGCAAGTTGGAGAAAGCAAGCTGGTGTCTGCCCCTTAAAGGGGGATCCGGTATTAAGCATTCTTTAAAAAGTATTACAAAGTTAGACGTTGGGAAGAACTAGAATAAAAATGAAATGTAACATATGGAGATTTATATTTAATTATCAGTTTGGCTCATTTACTTTCAGATCAATATACAGAAAAGATCTTTCAGTTGAAAAGATTTTTAAACATCCATTACATTTGCTTTTAAACATCTATTACATTTCAGCTAAATCAGAATGGTCTGTTTGAGAAAGCAGGGCTTATCTATGAAAAACCTTGTAGATATGTATGTAGTTCGCCAAATAATATTTATGGTAATAAAATTAGTATCTACTGCTTTTTTATGGGCCTTATGATGTACTGCTTAGCATGCTCGAAGACAGCTAATCTGTGGCAAGGTGTTGCCTGGTTTTTGAAATGTTTGAGCGAATTACTGAAATTGCTTTGCTCAGGTAGCAAAGATCTATTTCTTGATGTCCTGCTTCAAGTCAATATTAGTGATCAAGGGGAATATTGAAATCAGTCGGGCTACAGAGCTATGAGATTGCTTGTCAACTTGTTTTGTATGAAAATATTGAGTTAAATGAGAGATGTATATGGCTACTGTAGCAGTGATCCTCATTATTAGGTTATATAAGGGCAGTGATAAAATAAGTTTCACTAGCCTTTAACACCTTTTTAAAGGCAACTGACTCTTTTGCTAGTCTTTAGTAAAAAAGAACAGACCATTTCCATCTAATATTAGTGTAGCCAGTTGTCTGAGTGATGATGTCTACTTGCAAATGTACAGCTTGTATTTTAAATGCCCAGTAGTAATGTGAGATTTATGAATACGGGTTTGACAGTACCTGCACTTAAGCAGGGTCCTTAGATGTGTGTGGCTTGCAGAGAAACAGGAAAGATGGAATAACATCCTGATACCACTATTTCCCAGAAATGATACTGTACAGAATTATCCTTGTTCAATTGTAATTTCTCCATATTTAGTTATTTTTTCCCAGTACTGAGTGTATTCTTTGTGGTCCTTGGACTCCAGGTTTGTCATGAAACCCTCCTGAATTTGCAACATGAAGGTTATGTTATTCTGTGCTGTTTGCCTGTGTGGTCATAGGAATACTCCCTCCCGCTGAAGTGGGGGAGTGGACGAACACTAATCATTGCTCCATATGTTGGGGGGGCAACTAAAGTTTCTTTTTAAACATATTTACCCTTAGAGAAGAAATTTCACAAATGGCTATACATATGCACCTATACATATGCATGGACTTTATTTAATTTTTTAAAAGGAATTTGGGACCCAGAATGTGAGAACTTTGCCTTCTTTGCTTTGCTGCCTCATTTTTTGGTAGAGGAAATGTTTGACAGTCATCAATAAAAGATTAAATCATTGATGGCTATCGGGATAAACTAAACACATTTCGTGTGTTGATGCTGGCATAGTAGGAACTTTTCCAAGATGTTTCAGGCCTCATTCTCTGGTTTGTTTAAGGGCAGAGAATAAGGTCACAAAGGAAATCAAACCCTGATGTGGAGAAATGAAACATGAGGCCTACTGACTTCTAAAAAACATTTTAAATAACATTCTCTAAGGTTTCATTTTATACTGAAGGCAGCTGTAATAAGTTTTGGAAGATGGTGTAAGGTTTCTATTAAAGAGAGATTTTTTGCTTGCTGTTTTTGTACCCAAATGAAGGAGCGAGGGAGATGGAATTAGAGCTTACATAGTATAAGGTGAGAAACTAAAAGTTCTCTCCAGAACTGTAAAGTAGTAATTTATATGTTCTACTGTAATTTACAAATTAAAAAATATTAAACTGTTCCTAGATCTTTGAAAGTGACACACATAGCCATGGAATAATTTAATAACTGCAACACAAATGCACTTTTGCCACAAGTCAAATAAGACTGCTGCTTTGTAGTATGCTGCCAGCATAGCCTCAGTGAGTAAATTCCCAGTAGATGTTTGCTGCATGCCAAATATATTGGACGGTATAAAAGATCCCATTGTTCCATGGGCATCATTATTTGCTATTATGCTCACAATGTTTGCTTGTGAAACAGTTTATTGGAAACTAGTATGTTTAAGAAGGAACACTTGATTTGAAATTCAGTTGATTTGGCTCTCAGTGTCAAAGCTTTTACAGTGTACAGGCTCTAAAAATAAATATTTTGGTCTGCTTTTTTTTTTTACTTATCTTCCAAAGTATTCCTGGAGCAGGGGAGAGTGGATGGCTTGGGCTGGGGATGGGCAGTGGGTGTTTCACTTCTAATTCAGAGTTTGAAAGTATATGTAGGTCAGTATTAACTTTACATTCTTCTAACAAGAAATGAACAGAATTAAGATTGTGTGAAGAAGGTGGTGAGTTCCCAGCTAGGCTGATGAAACTGTGGCTCTGAAGTTTTTCTGGAGAGGATGGCAGTGTCCGTCTCGCTCACTGGATCATAAAAAAATTTGATAACCAGGACTGTCATTTAGAGGACTTTCTCTTACGTGATATGTGAATGAAAAGTTTTTCTGTTTTGCCTGTTGTCCAGGCAAAAAAAAAAAGGCTTTGGTGACCCTGGAGGCTGGGGAGCTGGCTTGTGCCCTGCCCACCACCTAGAAGACTTTAGCAGCTTTTAAATCAGGTTTAGTGAGGGTGGTGGAACGCTGCCTTGCTGTCACAGCTGAAGGCAAGGCTTCCGTGGGTGCTTTGCCCAAAGACTCTGTATCTCGCATCCACGACATTGGACTGGGAGCACTGGCTGCAGTGGCTCTCTGGACACCCGGATGATGCAGGGTGCACTTGGTCTATTCAGTGCTGTAAGCTTGACCAAGGCCATTTGATAGATGCTTAAGCAAGTCCATAGATTAAAAGCTCACATTAAATACATGGCAGTTTTCCAGAGAACTCTGTGTTTCCCTGCATCCTGCTCGGAATAAGAACGAACTGGTATTTCTGCTGCTGTGTCTGGGTAAAGCAGACAGCAGCTATCCTGGTAGTGCTGGTTGGAGTGTTTTGAAAAGTTGAGCTGTCTGGTATGTGTGTCCTGCATGAGGAGTTTCAGCGCTGAGGCTTCTGCCGCTAGTTTTGAGAAATTCCCTCTGGTTTATTTTAATATGTTAATCAGTTTTTAAAATCAACCAGTAATCTTTCTTCTTAATTTGGGGAGGTTTAGTCCAATGAGAAAGTTTTAAAACTCGGAGGTACTTATTACAATAGCTCAAACAAAAAGAACATATTTTACGTAATTCTGACTGAGCTGAACTATGAAAAATGCTTGAAGTTTTTACGCATGGTTTCTCCCCTCCCCCCAAATAGCTATTCTTTATATTACAAGTGTAGTGCTCAAGTCATCTCCTTTGAACTGTAGTTTTTGTTATACGTTTTGGCTGCAGTGTTATTTCGGAGGAGTCAGCCAACAGGCTTACAGGGCTTTTTGGCTCGAGTTCACTTACAGTTTTCTTGGCAGCTCTGCTTATTTATGCATCTTTATTTCTCTCTCTCTTGCTCCTTCTCGCTCCCCTTCCCCACCCGAACAGAGCGATCACCCCACAGGCCCATCCTCCAAGCTGGCCTTCCAGCAAATGCCTCTGCAGTCGTCGGAGGTGACGTTGAGTTTGTCTGCAAAGTCTACAGTGATGCTCAACCTCATATTCAGTGGATAAAACATGTAGAGAAGAATGGCAGTAAATACGGACCAGATGGACTGCCATATCTTCAGGTTTTAAAGGTGAGGCTTTACAGATGCCAGCAATGGTGATGACTTCTTTAAAGCATTGCATTTATTTGATGTAAATCCAAAAATTTTGAGATCTGAACTTCTTTTGAAAATAGAAGTGTTTACGTTACAAATGAAATAATGAGTTAGATAAACATTTGATTGTCTAAATGCTAATTGTGAAGCCTATAGACGCTGGTTTGCTCTTTTTTACCTCTGTGAAGTCCTTAATCTCTGAATGTTACAGGCATGACTTATTTAGAAAAAAATGAAAACCCTCTTAAAGAACATCATTGACGTTTATGTATGGGTAGAACGCTTCCAAAACATACTCGGGACGATCTACTCCATTTCTTTCACGTTTCTTCAGCCTCTGTATTTCAAAATAATGTGACACCTGCTGCCAAAAGCTTGGCAGGATTGGGTTTTCTGGATGCTGAGCCTGCAGAGATGTCCATTTTCCGCTGGCGTATTGTTGCTGTCATTCCTGCAGGCGTTTTGGACAAGCCTGACCAAGGAATACCCAAAGTTTTCAGAGCTGGGTGGCATTGCCAAAACTCAGCACATTGGCAGGCAGGACAGCCAGCTCTATACCATCTTGTTCCACGCAGCCCAGGTGCTTTTTCCCCACATGCTGCAGTTTTCTAACTCCTCGTGTGATATTTCACATTTAAAAAATCAAAATCAACAACAAAAACAACCCCAAACAACAACAAAAATGCCAAACCCTCAATGTTTTGACGCTGATACCTGTATGAAGTGGAAGGCGTATTCTTATGACGTGTTGGTGGTGGGACCATAGACAGATTGGTGTCCGTTTTGGGCAGCAGTGACGTTGTTCTCCTGTGTTATTGGTCTATTCTAGCATTCGGGGATAAATAGTTCCAATGCTGAAGTGCTGACACTGTACAATGTGACAGAGGCGGACGCTGGAGAATATATTTGTAAGGTCTCCAATTATATAGGGGAGGCCAACCAGTCTGCCTGGCTCTCTGTTCTGCCAAGTATACAAGGTAACAATGTTTTTTAAAGCAAGCTGGATGTAGAAGCTGGAAAAAATGGTGCTTTGGGAGACTGCAGGCAGCTTGTAGGATAACTCTTTGGCCTTGTGGTCTATGTGTAATCCTCCTTCGGTGATGCAACTGGTATTACACCAGCAGCCATGGAAAAATTCCCACAATATTCTGTGTGTACCATAAACACTGGTTTCTGATGCTGATCTTTGTTCTCTCTTGGTGTTTGGTGTCTTTGTTTCTGTGTGTTTACATCCAGTTTTGTTGCTAATTCTGCATACTTTGCAGTTCATGTACAGGGTGCTTGCTGAATAATATAATTAGTGTATATTTATATATACACATGCGTGTGTATATATATGAAAAGTTCACATAATTACCCACTGAAGCGTAAGTCAGGTCAGTTTAGTCACTTATAAATTCCCATGTCACCTCGGACTGTGCAAGGAGGGAGTGTTTCCCAGTTGTTATTCACCCGTTATTACCCAGTTAACAACCCATCAATAGCAACAAAGACTGGCAACAATGCAGCTACAACTCACCCTAAATTTACTTTAAAATGGTCTGGTAAAAACGTGCTTATTCCCTCATCAGGTATTTCAAAGTGAACTTTTTGAATGGAACAGAGGCGAAAAGCAGCAAACAATAATTTCTCTAAATCTCCATCATAGAGACCTTGACACTCATGCCCTGCTGCACCCATCTTGGGACAGCTGGAAAGTTCCACAGCCAAGATTTACTCTGTTTGTATGAGTTTGGATAATCACTGATACACTGGTGGGTTTGGTGCATAATGACTTGTCAAACCAGAGATTTAGAGATTTCCTCCTCTGGAAGGAGACCTGAAAAAAAAGAAACCTTCCAGAATTTTTTTCCAGTCTCTTAAATTTAGAAAAATACATTTTATGTCTACCTCCTGGTTCTTGAACCTTTGGGGCCCAGTTTTTCTCCACATCTGAGAGCCACAACTGATCTTTTTTTGAACAAGAGCTGAGATACACACTGCTTCTAAGCAAACCACCAACTATTACCAGGCTTCAGATGAAAATGAGATTTGGCAACACTGCCTGACATACAATATTTAAGCGTAGTGCAGTGGATGATGCAAGGACCATACACTGCTTAAGACAGCTACTAAGTTGTGTCTTCTGGACCTGAATTCCCCTCCCCTACCTTTTAAAAATTTTTTTTCTTAAAATCCTTTCAGATTATATTTTTGTAGTAAATTCTTTCCTCTGAAACAGGTGACTACATGTGAAGGATCCCACATTCTGTCCTACTTTGTTTTCTCTTTGTTTTTCTTTCAACTTCCTTTTATTATAAAAGAGGAAGGAAAAAAAAAAAAAAAGCTTTGTGGGGTAATTTTTCCATGTCATTTGATTGCATGCATGTTTAGGTGGTGAGTTTAGGTCTGGTGAAGGGTGTTCATTACTTTCTGAGGTGAGCTGGGACCTGTTGGTAAACGCCTTTTGGATGAGGGATTGTGGATGGGGAAGGAGCTTTGCATCTCTTCACCTCTTCCTTTACAAAGTGCAAAGCCCTGTGGCTCCATCTCCCTATCCACAAGAATTCTCTCAATGTCTAGCTTTTTCTCTTGCTTCCCTCTTTTGTTTTTTTTTTAGGCTGCCGGTGTTAACACCACGGACAAAGAAATTGAGGTTCTCTATATACGGAATGTAACTTTTGAGGATGCTGGGGAGTATACATGCTTGGCGGGTAATTCTATTGGGATATCCTTTCACACTGCATGGTTGACAGTTCTGCCAGGTATACACTGCTCTCCTTCTGTGGTTTTTCCTCTTTTTTTTTCCCCCTTGTTGATTGCTGCAGAATTAGCACAGCTTCTGTCTCAGAAAAGGAATTTTTACAATGATTTTTTTTTAAAAACGCAGTTGTCTCAAGCCAGCGAATTATTTCATCACATATTTGCAACTCCAAAAAAACTAACAATAACTAAAAAAGGGGGTGGTGGTGGGGGAATGGCTATTGCACTTAATTGAAATATTTTTTACATCTGTTAAATGTTCATCAGAAATGCTAAGGGATTGCATTTCCTTAGCACTTCAGCGAGATAACTGAAAACCAGCACATTAATCATTGTAAACTTTTTCAAGAGGAAGAAATTCAAAGCTTCTTATGAAGCTTTGGGACTAATTTGGCGACAGTCATATACTGATTCATTAAAATACCTGAGTTACTCAGTGTGATTAAATTCATTTTTACCTATCCTCCAAATCTCTTACGGAAAATTCTAATTTTAATGCCAATAGATGGTGTACAGAAGCAGTGCCTTCCATATCTTGGGAATCGGCTCCGTGCATCTTTAAACATTGCATGCTCTAAGAAAAAAAGTAGTCATTTGCTTTTACTGCAAAGCATGTCTTGCTGTTCTGGGGTTGATGATGTTTCTGTCCTTAAAAGAAACAAACATCAATGTGCTTTATTGCCTGAAAATTGTTATCAGCTGTTAGAAGATGTAGCTGTAGTTGGTTTTGACACTAGTCAAATTTTCTCATTTATAACTGTTGGCAGCTGCCTTAGGAGTTCCTTTGAAAAAAACATGAACCACCTGAGGTTTGCTGGGTCGTCTTGTGCTTACCATGTATTAATTGTTAATCCTAAGTAAAGGTACAAAACCTGCATGTGCATATTGCTGAGGTTCATATTATGGGAGCGAAATGTTCCCACTTTTCTGCAGATAATTTCTTACCCTTTATTAAAATATATTGAACAAGGCAGCTTTATTACATCTCACTCTTATGTGAACAGCGAGCCTGCATGGTCTGTCACCAAGCAGGCAAAGCAGTACTTGTGTAGAGCTTGCTTCTGCTAGCAGTGTTTGCATTTTGCAAGTGCTTGAACAGCATTTTTTTTTTTTTAAACCGATTTTCTTGAATGAAATATTTTTATAAGCCTGGAATGAGGCACAAGAAAATTTCAGCTTGAACGTGCATTGCTTGCGGAGTGACCACTGATTGCTGTGGAATGCTGTTTATCCAGGGGTTGAATCCCAGATAAGGGATTAGGGACAGTGTTTGCACATATAACTGTCTTGAAGATAATTTCAAAATGGTTTCAATCAGAGTAACAGCTATGTGAAACCACTCCCACTAAAATCTAATCTCGGACTAGTAACCACTGATGAGGTTACTTGAAATAGGCGGTTCTCACCAAAGGGGACTCATTAATTAACATATTGCTAGCAATTCAGTTTTTGCTTCTGTTATGCTTTTTAACTGGACACTGGGCTCTTAAAGTACCTCAGGGGCGTTAAGCACCCAGCATGAACCACAACAAGTTAAGCAGCTGGGCAGCCCAGTCCTTGAAACGCTCTTGAAACCCCTAACGTGAGTTTAGAAACAGGATGAAGGACCAATTAATTCTGCCTTCTCTCTGTATTTTGAGATCCCAGTGAAAATTTTGGGTAAACAGGCAATGCAGACTCAAGCCCGAAAGTCTATTTGTGAATTTTGACACTTTTCTTTTAGGCTAGCCAATTCAATCTTTTCTCTTTAGATGTGTCTTTATGTGGTTAAAAAGGATTACAGTGCTTTTGAAGTTTGACTTGAGCAAGAAAATGAACCCGAGCCTAGTTTGAACACTTCAGGTTTTTTTCTTTTCCACTAAAATTATGCTCAATCATGCAGTATGTCTCAATGTGTATCTATCTACCTGTCTAGGCAGACACGTGTGTATATCTATACATGTATACGTATATGCACAAGCTCACAATGGCTAACTGAGAAGTCAAAAGCAGTGTTCTAGAAAGAAAAATTACTTTCAGATTGCAAGAAGGTTTAAACATTCACACTATTCTGTATATCACACAGTCACTACAAGAATTACTGGTATTTTACCATGTCAAGTTATTCCAAGCACTGTACTGAACTCTGCTTGTACTGTGTGCTAACTCTGTGGCATGATTGTTCCCTCCTAAAAACTTCCAATCCAGCTCCTGAAAAAGAAAAAGAATATCCGACATCTCCAGACTACCTGGAAATAGCAATTTACTGCATAGGGGTCTTCTTAATTGCCTGCATGGTGCTGACAGTCATCCTGTGTCGCATGAAGAACACCACCAAGAAGCCCGATTTCAGCAGCCAGCCCGCTGTCCACAAGCTGACAAAGCGAATCCCTCTGCGCAGACAGGTAACAGAAAGTAGATAAAGAGTTTAAAAAACTTTTACCAAACAACTAAGCCAGCACATCCTTCTGATGAAAGCTTTGGAAAGGGGAATAAATAAGCATTATACCATATTGCAGTAGGGGTAGGATTTAGTTTGGCACCTAGGAGACTGGCATGGGAAAAAAGGACATCTTTAACAGCACAGCGATGTGTGTCTCAAGGCAAGGAAACCAGGGCAGGGATGTTAAGAGGAGAAATGTTAAAAAAATAGAATATGTTCTGTGTTAGCAGCCTATAGATGGAAAAAATGTATTTAAAGTATTTTGGGGCCTGATCCCACAGCTCACTGAAGTCAATGGAAAAAATTTTACTGACTTAATGGACTTTGGAACAGAATCCTCTTCAATTGTGTACTTTTAAAGTTTCTAAGGTGACTATTATTGTAGTAACTGGATACCAGATACAGAGAGGTATTTTTCAGGAAGAATTTTGAAGGCTGAGGGGAGGGTATTTCATAGCCAAGCATCCAGAAACCACCCCAAAATAGAAAAGTGACTGTAATAAAGTAAAAATAGGGGAGATACTGTATCAGATCTCGGACACTTTGATTAAAATGCTGATGCTTTTGAGTGGGGAACAAAAGCAGATGTCAGATTTAAAGTGCACACAGCAGCTTCACACAAAATATATTTTGCAATTGCTTGTGGCTGGCAATGAGCATTGCTGGAGAGGGCGATACCATGAGCAACAAACCCGTTGAACGAGTAACAGGACTTTGGCTTTGTCAAAGGCCATCACTTGCCAAAACAAGCCTCTGTTCCCACATACTATCCTCTCCTGAAAGACTTGTTTCTTTTGAAGATGGAGTTTAATATGTTTTGATTTTCTTGCAGCATGTTTTCAGGATAGACCTCTGAACTCACCAAATCCACCCCCAGCTCTCAGTCTCGCGAGCTGGAGGGGTGTTGGCACCTGAGGCTGTGGTTCACCTTGGTATTCAAAACAGGCGCTGTCTGCAGGGTTGGATCCAGGCTCCGGTCAGGCGGTTTGGATCTGAGGGTTTAGTTCAGGTTCTTTGGATCTGGAGGGTTTAGTTCAGGTCCATCTGCACTGTGAGTAGGTTGCACAGAATTTCTGCAGTTTGTTTTTACAGCTTGTCCAGAATATTATTGCTGTCAGATATATGTGCCTTAAAAATAGTTCTTCGGTGTTTAAAATTTAGATGCATGGTCACACAGAGTTAGGGTGGAGCTTGATCTTGGAATTTTGAACGGCATTACTTTCCTCTGAACTGTTGTTTCTGAACCTTCTTGGTTAAAAATACTGCAGAGTAGTAATGCTTTAGCCATCTTCCTCTGAAGTGCAGTATTTTACAAAACCTTGGTGAGGGACATGAATTTTTTCTGATCTGAAAAATATTTGGTTTGTTTTATGATCAAAAATGTTAATTCTTATGTTTTTTTTTTTTTTTTTTTTTTTTTTTTTTTTCTCTAATTTTGTGATTTTATTCGTTTGCTTGAAAATCACTGCAAAGAAGAGGGACTTCTGGCTGTATCAGAAAGTGATGAGAAGCCCTCAGGTCCATTCACACATCTCTGTGGCTAAAGATCTGTGTAACTTTCTGGACAAAGAAGGCTTTTCAGATGTTGTATACTTAACCATTAAATTTCTGCTTAAATATCAAAGCATCATAATAACTCGGAGCTAAGTTGACGGCATAAAACATGCTTAAGGTTTGGTGTGAGCTCAGCTGTGTCAGTTGGAAATGGTTCCTTGGGGAGAGAGTGTTATTTCATTGTGTGTGATAGCAATGCCAACCACTGCCCTCAATTTAGTTATTTATCATTAAAGGGTGCAGTATGGACCTTCTCCGAAGGTTTTCACAGAGGAAAAATTCTCTGTCTTAGAACATGCTTGTCAGATACAATTTTACTGTTTTATTTTGTTTTTCTAGATTTTTCCTAGCAAAACTGGCATTTTACTTTTAAAACTGGGAATAATTTTTAGAGAAACAGTATGTGTTTTAAAGTGCAAATCCTATTTCAACCCTTAAGCAAAAATTCCACTATTCTCAATTCTCCCAAGTACTTTTTTATTAACAGGAGTTTCTCATTGAAGGGCTCTCTGCTTTTGTATCTTCGTAGAGGAAAATATAACTACTATAAGCATTAAAAGAAATCTGTATTTCTGTTTTGACGATTTCACTGGCCATTTCACTAATCATATTAGCATGCAGAGGCGGAATGAGATGATCAGTCTCTGAAGTCTTGCTCATTAACAGTGAAGATTCCTTAATTTTTCAGTTAGCATCTCCTTGGTCTCTAAGGCTGCTGCAGTTGTTTACTTTCTGCATCTTTTAAAGCTGATTTTTGGATTTCAGAATTGTTGGCACAAACCAAAAATTAAAAAATAATCCAGGAGGTGTTTTATTTAATGGGTAGGTGTTTCTGGGTTATTCAACGCTGTTTTGTCTTACTGTCAGGCTTACTTTTTTGTTTCACGTTATTTGTATTTCAGAGGATTGTATTTAAAGTCAGGTGGGGTTTTGTCATTAAACCTTTTTTTATCTATTGATCACAGAAGGTTCTCCCTTGGCTTTGTGCTGTGTGTGGGAGGAATAGAGAAAGTGGCTGAGTTGTTGAGAGGATGGGTGAGAGCGAGCAGGGGAGATGCTCGTGGCAGGTAGACTGTGAGCTGGGCAGAGATCTAGGGCTGCGTAATGGGATTTGTTGGAATTCCAGAGAAATGAGGCCATAGGCTGGGGAATTCTTGATATTGTTTTCAAAGCTCTTTCTGCTGGGTCAAGCTCCCTAAGGATCTGGATATGAAAATAATCCTGGTTCACGAAGAGACATTTGCATAACTGTGATGCCATCTTGTCTAAGTGGGATAAGACTCTTGCTGAGTAACATATGGTTTGGTTTGCAGGCCTGGATTCTCGTACACTATTTAGTCTGAGCTACTACAGGATTTTATCATTCCCCACATGCAGGCATTTTTTCCCTGCCAAAATGCGGTTCTTTTCACATTCATAGGAAGGGTCATGAAGTCAGGAATTATCAGTTCCCTCCCTCTACAATCCTAAGCTTCACTAGGATCTGGTACTTGGTTTTCGAAATAGAAACTGCTAACAGGGAAATCTAGCAAGCAGTTCCTCTTCTTTAAATAAAAGCAGAGGTGCAGTGCTTTGTTGGTATTAGCCCTGTTCTGTTCTAGAAGTACCAGCTTGCGAGGGAGAGAGAGAGGAAGTGTTTTTGTAGGATGGAACATCACAAGCTGATTTGCGGTATAGGCTTTAGGTGACAGGTTCACTCAACCAAAAAGTAAAGAGTAGCCTTAAATCGGATTTACATCTCTTTAGTAGAACTTCTTTTTTAACAAATAAATTATAATTTAAACAGAAAAAAAAGGCACTCCCATCTTTGCCCAAAGTCAAGTACAAGAGTTTATCATCACTTGAGCGTTTTGTTAGTGCTATCACAGTTACACGTTTGACAGTCTGTCAAATCTGGACCCCCTCAATGTGGGTGTAGATAGGTGTCTTAAATAGGGAGAAATGATTTCATAGGCTTAATATTTTTACATTCTCATTAATTTGTATCTGCTGTTGTTGAGTCTAATCCTTCATAAAAATGAGTGCGGTTGTGAACAAAGATTGGTTCATTTAGAGTAAGACTTAAGCTCATCCAGCAGAATAGCTAGTTCAAAATGGTGATGGCAGCAGGAACCTGAAAAAGAGAAAAGTAATCTGGAACAAGTAAAGTAACACAATATTTCACATGGTATTGAGCTGTAAAAATAGAATTCATGTCTGAAATACAAAGATTAATATACAGCTGTCAGTAGGATATGTTGCAAGGAATTTATCTTAATGCCTATTTTAGTTTCTTGCTTTATCCTTGGATTTCTCTATATGGAAACCATCCACTTGCCTAGTAGTACTTGTTCTTTATGTTGTTGTGTAAGTGTTTCAAAAGGAGTGCTTTTCCTGAAGGGGTGGTGCGTGTGTGTTAAATGTCAGTACTTAACACCAGGAATCCGCAGTTTCATGTAGTGCATTTAGCCTTCCATTTTCCTAGAACCAGTCACTCAGGTGGACTGTTTCTATCCACAGCTGATAGAATTAGTTACTAATGATATTTATATACATATATGCATATGACTTCAAATTAACTTTTATAGCAGGGCCTTCAAAAAGACTGACAATTATAGGAAATCACTGCATGGCTGCTAAAATCTCACAGCATGAGGGCCAGAACTGACAGATTTAGGCTTTGGGACATGGTGTAAATCACCAGTGGAGGAACACCCTTCATAATCAATTACAGACAATTGCACACTGCTCTGCAGCTGATTTTGCCACATGGTATTTAAAGATTTCAGCAAAGATTTGTTTGTTTTAAATGCTCCACTGCTTAGAAATGCTTTTAAAGCATTATCTTAGTGCTGATTAAATACAGTGTGTTGGCTGAGGGAAAAAACACATTGTTAAAATGGGGATATAATCATGCGTTGGTGCGTGAGGTTTGGACACAGGAGGATTTTCTCCTTCTGAAGTGCAGGTATGGAGCTAAAGATCTGCTTGAGACTGGTAATTTTCTTGGTTCTGGCTCCTAAGAGCAGGAAGGTAGCACACAAAGAATATTTTATGGTGGAGGTCTAGCTTCCTCTGAAGCTTAACATACACCACAATAGTCCTTTCAGTGTTTTGCTCAAGTCAAGCTGACTTCTGCTTTTCTTGCTTTAGTTAAGCACTCAAAATACCTCCCTAGTGTAGTGTCATCACTTAAACCAGGTGCCCCGAACACACTGATAGGCCTTGAAGATGTTTAATTCGCCTATCCTGGGTGCCCTTCCTTGCTTCTCTGCCCTGGCTCTGCTTTGTCCCTTTATCTCTGAGAAGCACATGTTGGTGAGCTGAGTGATACATTTTGACTAGATGTCCAACTGCTACTTCTTGGCACCTGGCAAACCCAAAAGTGGCCCTGTGGACTGTATATTTGCCATGCACAATTGCAAACGTGCTGCGAAAACTCACTCTAGCCTCTGTTGTGCCCGTGTCCTCCGTATGTTGAATCTTTACATGACTGCAAGCAAAAAGAGCATCCACATACCTGAAAGAACTCCACACACTGAAGTGCAGGGTTGATGGCAGGAGTGTCACTGGTTCTTGAACCAGGGGTTGGAGAGCAATGCTGCAAGTAGCAAGCTCTGGAAAAAGGCCTTCTATCTGCTGCTACTTAAATGTGTACGTGTAGATTAAAGTTGACCATGTGTACTGACCTTGGAGTAGGTAAGGTTTTCCTCATTGTTTTATAGTGCACTCTAAGGCAGTGAAAAAAGATGCTTAAAGGATGAGTTCAAAGGTTAATTCTTTACTATTGCAGAAAAGGTGAAAGGCTATTTTGAAACAGAAAATCTCCTCCAACCACAGGCCAGACTGGGTTGGCTTCATCTTTTCTGGAGCAGATTTTTATAGCCCTTGAGCTCCTGTAACTCCTTGTACTGCTCCAATTAATCAATCAGAAGAATATTCCCTGGGAGTACAGTTCATTTTTCTTCTCCCAGACACAGAGTAGTTCCTCTGGATTTCTCATCATTCCTATCCGTGTTAATGCACTTTGGTTACCTACAGCATCTCTGGCCAATCATCCAGTTATTGTGTGAAGTAAACACATGCAATAATGTTAAAAGGGAACATGGCAGAGTCTTTCAACTGTTTTTTCTATACTTTATTACTATTTAACTTCTGTTTGAAATGCATCACAAGAGTATTTCAGTTTATTGCAAGTTTACATTTATAGGTTTTAACTGTGCTAAGACCACTGAATTGTGAGTGTAAGAGCTAGTAAGAAGATGAAACTCTAGTAGAAAATTGAATAGTGTCTAATACATTGTATTCATGAAAAAAAAAAAAAAAGACTTAAGAACATTTTGGGCCATTTCTGATATGTAAGGGATATAATCTAAATTTTGCAGCTTCACTTCCTTGCTTTCCTCGTGTTCCATCAAAACAATGGTTTTAATGACAGTGGAAAGTGAGAAAGTAAAGGTAATGTTAATAAAGAAAACAATAAATAAAACAGGACTAGAATAAATATCTTGGTAGAATGGCTGGTGCGTGGATTTTGGAAACATGAATGAAGTGGTCTTAGAGTATTAGGAGTAGGTTTGCTGTGAGAGAGGTGTAAAAATGGAAACCAGAAATAAGAGAAATGAAATTCAGAGGAAGTCGTGTGGGACAGGAGTTGCTGCATTGTTGAGATTTGCACATTTCTTAGTGCTGAGCTAGTTCATTTCATGAAGCCTCATTTTTAAACTGTAGTGAAATAGTGAAAATATAAAAATAAGTAGAAGTCTTAATTCTAGCCCAGGTTCTCACGTTGACCTGCCATGCAGCTCTGAGTGAGCGGTTCAGCTCTAGCAGGTGTGTTTCCCTCTAGGCTGGGCATAGCAGCATCTCTCTCGAAGGACTGACTCTGTTCAGCATTCACTTACTGATTGATTTAGAGCTACGTAGTCTGCCTTAATAGAAGATTTCTGTTTGTATCCCAAGTGGTCACCATATTTATTAGCTTAGAGGAATGTGCCAGGTACTTATATTTGCTGAAAATAAATATTAACATCAGCGATGGTTGGATGGACAAGGGGGAAAGCAGTCCACCTCTCTTATTTGAATGGTAGCTGTATTTGTGCAGTCATACTCCCTTGTTCCATGGATATCACATCGTGCATGCAGAAGCTGGAGCTTCTGCTATCAAGAAAGGTCTCTGTCAGCTGCAAAACTGATGACCAAGGTTAAATTTTTTTACAGCAGTCCTTAACACTTTTTCTTTATGAGACCTCTTCCAGTCTTAATCTCTGGTCTTAGAAGAATGTCAAGAAACCAACCCCATTTGACTGAGATGGGTTTGAGGATGTCAGCCTGCAAAAAGACCTCTCAAAACAGGTTGTCAGAGTCATGATGAGAGATTTCTTGGAGAGTTTTAGCCTTGTCCTGTCAAAATAAATTGTGTAAGAGCATGACATGGTTGCAAAAGCTTTTCAGACCCATTCTGAGGAGCTCGAGTAATGCCATGGGCTGAGATGCTGTAATAGTTAATTGGACTTGAAATAAGGGAGCACTAAGTTGTGCTTATCAGGTGTCAAGAGAGGAGACAAGAGGATTTTGTGTTCATATCATTGTCACCAGTTTGCACTCTAATGCTATTAGGATCTGTTTACTTACTGCTTTTTTTTTTTTTAAATCTAGTTATAAGACCTCTGGAACAAAATTGTAGCCCAGTGGCACTTTACATAAGCAAACCTGTTGTCAAAGTTGACTCCAGGTGATAAGGACGAAGGTCGAGAGTGGTAGTTACTGCAATACTAGGCTTCCAGCTTGGGCAGGGTCCCAACGATGCTGGCTGAGAAGCACCTCCTGCCGCCTGATGTGAGGACAGGAACCAGTGATGGCATTGTGGAACAACTGGAACAACCTTCACCCCTCTTGGCCATGGGATTTAGGCTTGGTCAAGACTGTCACAGCCTGGAGAGTGACAGAAGAGTCACACTCAAAGGAGGAGAAGACTGGCAATACAAGCATTTTTGTTCTGTTGTTCATATTCACGTGAAACTCTGAGGTCAGCAGACATCAGGCTGCTGCTTGCGGGTTTGAGGAGAGCACTGTACAGAAGATACACCATTCACACCAAAAACGAGTTTCCTTATATGGATGAAATAGCTGCCTCGTTTTTCAAAGCAGTTATCAACTATCTTTGCTCTAAGGAAAATGTTGTTGAGATCAATAAGAAATCATACCTCAAAGTGAATTATGTTTCAGCGCATTGGACATGAAATTATTTTAGGAGCTCTTCTTCACCTTGCCTGCAGAATCTTAATTAAGAATGTAGTTAGCTGAAAACTTAAACATCCCCTGATTATTGTGATTGCTTTTTGATGCTTTCAATATTGGATGCTTAGAAAATACAGAATCGTAGAATCATTTAGGTTGGAACAGACCTCTAAGATCATTGAGTCCAACCATTAATCTAACACTGCCAAGGCCACCGCTAAACCATGTCCCTAAGCACCACATTTACACATCTGTTAAATACCTCCAGGGATGGGGACTCCACCATTTCCCTGGACAGCCTCTTCCAATGCTTGACAAACCTTTCAGTGAGGAAATCTTTCCTAATATCCAATCTAAACCTCCCATGGCTCAACCTGAGACCATTTTCTCTCATCCTATCGCTTCCTACTTGGGAAAAGTACAACACCCACCTTGCTACAACCTCTTTCAGGCAGTTGTAGAGAGCAATAAGGTCTTCCCTGAGTCTCTTTTTCTCCAGGCTAAACAACACCCGTTCCCTCAGCTGCTCCTCCCAAGATTTGTGCTCCAGACCCTTCACCATCTTCATTGTCCTTCTCTGGACACGCTCCAGCACCTCAATGTCTTGTTTGCAGTGAGGGGCCCAAAACTGAACCCAGTGTTCGACGTGAGACCTCACCAGTGCTGAGTACAGGGGGACAATCACTGCCCTAGTCCTGCTGGCCACGCTATTGCTGATACACGCCAGGATGCCATTGGCCTTCTTGGCCACCTGGGCACACTGCTGGTTCATGTTCAGCTGCTGTCGACCAACACCCCCAGGTCCTTTTCCATCTGGCAGCTTTCCAGCCACTCCTCCCCAAGGCTGCAGTGTTGCATGGTGTTCTTGTGACCCAAGTGCAGGACCTGGTGTAAGAGAATCCAACATTTCCTACGCAGTAACATTCATGTAACCTTGATCATCGACACTGATGAAAAATATGGGAGCCTTTACAAAAGTACCATTTTTTCAATTAAAACCTCAAAATTTCAATTTAATAGTAACACCAAAAAGAAGAAGGTAAATTGTGTGCTGATTTGGGAGGAGAAGTGGTGACATGGACAGCTGGAAGTTAGTGGAAGAAGAGAACTTATTGGTAACATCTGCTTACAGTGTAAGCTGCCTACTTAGATATCTGCGGGTGATGATGTAAATACTTTCAATTGATTAAAAAAAAATAATTTCATAAACGGTAAGAAAAGTTTATTTAATGTATCTTCTGAGTGAATGTATTTAAAACTTAGAGGGTTTTCAACCTATGGGACAGACTTGGCAGCAATTAGAGTCAGTATTGTGCTTACAAGGGAGGTGAGAATAGTACACTAGAAACAAGATTGTAGGTTCAGCCTCTTTTCTGGTACCATTGTTCTGAGCTGGCTTGGTTATCAAGTACTGCTGCTTTTCAGATATTGGGCCAAGATTACATCGATGCCTTTTTTCCCCCCCCTCCCCCCTTTTTTGCATCCTGTATTGCAACAACAGGTGTCAGCAGACTCGAGTTCCTCCATGAATTCCAACACACCTCTGGTGAGGATAACTACTCGCCTCTCCTCTACTGCTGATGCCCCCATGCTGGCAGGAGTCTCGGAATATGAATTGCCAGAAGACCCAAAATGGGAATTTCCAAGAGATAAGTACGTAGCCTGTTTCCCTTAACACTGCCTATGCACATCTGAAAAACTTAACACGGTATGGGAGGAAGCATCTTTCCTAATGTCTCCCAAGGTTTCTTTAGTTAAAAGAAAATCTCACTTACTTGAGCCTCGTCTGAAGATGAAGATCCAATTCAGTTATCTGAAATCAGTTTGTTTAAATAGAAACTAAATTTTCCCTGCGTGTCATTATGATTTTATTTTCAGATTTCTTGTAGGTTTGCAGGTACCGTGCTGAAATGTAACTCCTCTGTTAGGAAGGGAGTAAATCTGAAATGTTGTTTCAAAATATATAGTCAAGGCTGTGAGAGATAACCACGTACAAGCATTGTTGAAGATTTCCCAAAACAATACCTCTGTACATTAAAACATGTTCCTTACTTGATTACTTAATTGGTTAATATTTATAAAATAAGTAATACAGTATCATGTAGGAGATAAAGACTAAAATATGATATTAGACAGTGTTTTATTTCTGTCAGGACTTTGGGTAGGATTTTGTGTTGATTTTGTATTAACCTTTATTAATGGAGATGATTTTTGATTTAGAGGGACATCTTGCATACTGTGGGCATATATGTACCACAACTGTGGCTTAAAAGTATTCGGTTTCAAGCAGGGCATAGTGAAATCTGATAAATGCAAATTCGTATGACTACATATTACTTTCTTCAGAGTCTGTTAACTAACATGCAAATGAGCTTCTGAATAATCTAATTAAAGCTATAACTGTATTAATATAAAAAAGACATGTAAAATAGATAATATTAACGCAGATAGACCTGTAATTATTTATTAAAGTTAGTACTAACTTTAAGAAGTCTTTAGGTGGCTTTGAGAAAATAACACCTCTTATCACGAACAGTTCTCTTTGAAAGTTCAGGGTTGTAACTTTTGGATAGAAGAGCTGTAATTTTGAACCTTCTGACAACTGTTCTGGAAATTATTTTAATGATGTAGCTGAAAACTAGTGCAAAATGCTGTAATTGCCACCTGCAGTATTCTAGTCAACAGTGAGGGCCTGTATATGTACTTCTGTCAGCCCATGCCCTGGGGGGATACACCAAATGCGGAAAATTTTAGAGTGCTAAACATTTAAAACCAGCGTTCAGCACAAATGTAGGTGGAGCAGATTTGCAATGAAAGGAGGCTATTTAGAGGCAGTTTATTAGGTTGGGGGGCAGGAGGCACACAATGAGGGGTTTGTTACTTTAGTCCTAGCAGGGCAATAGCACATAAATTAACCAGTTTCCAATGCAAATGTTTGTTCTCTGCCAAGATCCTAAATTCAATTTTAGTTCTGGAGAAAACGCAGGATGACCTCAGCATAGCATACGCTGCCCTTCAGTCTTTGCACCTTTTTAAACTTGCGTTTGCTTTAGAAACCAGTCCAAAACAGCTTGAGGAATTCTCACCCAGGCAAAGACCTTGTTTGACAAGGAGTCTGTGGGCTGCCCTCGGGAGGAACCACCTCTCACTTCTGTCCTGTGCCTGAGCAGATAAGCGGGGTTTTCAAACCACATAGCCCTGGTCTAAGGCTCTTCTGTTGATGGTATGACAACTTCTCCCTGTATTTCATGGGGAAAGACATGTTTTTAAGAACGAGTCCCTACATAATCATACCTGTGAATTTTGCTTTTGACCGTGGAAAGCCAAGACCTTAAGAAATCAGTTCTGAAAAGCCGATTCTGGCCACTACGCAGGATAACGTTAGCAGCATCACACCTGCCGAGCACCCTCTCTGATTTCTGCCATGGCACTTCTTCTGGGTGTTAGGTGATATTCTCTGTGAGTAAAGGAACCCAAATCTGGCCCTTAAGCATTTAGTTTGGAATGAAAAAGGCTTTACCCAGAGGCTTTGAGGTTTCTTTTCTATTTTATCTCTTTAATCCTCATAAAGTTGAGATCGACATCTCTGTGTCTGTCTGTTACAGCTGAGTGGGTTTTACAACGAGGGATGTGCTCCACAAAATGCATTTTTGCAGAGCCCTCTTCAATGGCTGCTCTTTTTAGAAGGTTTCTTACGTTGATACTATGATTATAACTGAGTTTCAATTTCCTCTGGTCTCTGCTTCCCGCTCTCTGAGCAGAACCTGGGCGCTGCAGACAGGACGCATCTCCTCTTACCCTCATACATGACACTTGTGGCAGCAAAGAGCCCTCAGCCAAGAGACAGCCACTGTGCTAGACCCAGCTGTGGATAAATAAAGCATCCCGTCTCGCCCCTTAAAGGATCAAAGCGCTGGGGGAATGCACAAGGATGTCAGAAGAGTGATCTTGCTGTGGGCGGGGAGGCCGTGGAGAAGATGGCTCATAGGGGATGCTCAGATCTGCCAAGTGCTTTGTCCTGCAGAGGTGCTGCCTTTGTGCGGCCGGGCAGGGAGGGCCCTGCCGCCCGCCTGGGCCCTGCTGCCTACCTGGGCCCTGCCGCCCGCCTGGGCCTGGCCGCTGCCTGAGCTGCACCGGGTCGTGCAGCCGAGGAGCGGAGCTGGCGGCCATGGCAGCTCCTGGCAGCCCTTCAAGGCGCGTGAGCATCACCGGCACTTTCCCCGGGCTCTCGCAGCAGGAACCCCTCCCAGGCCTTCGCCGCACGCTTGTCGACGGCCTCTTTTCCCTTCCCCTTCTCTCGCCTTCATCCTCCTGTCTCCCACAAGACGATGGCTGTCTGGCCACCTCATCAGCCACACAAAAGAGAAACGGGTGCGATAATTACCCGCATCTGCGCCCAAACGTGGTGTCTACTGACTTTGTTTCTGTCCTGTCTAATTCCTTCGGCTCAGGAGATCATTAGGCAAACGTTCACAGCCCGCATCCCCAAACAGAACTCAAGAATACAAATTCTGTGCTAAAATTAAGCTGCCTGAGAGCATGTTTGATTTTCCTTTCTCTCTGCACTGTGCCGTTGTATCAGAGGAGTTAATAGTATTTAAAACATCCCCCCTGCTCTAAATACCACCCTTTACCACACAAATCATCAGCTGCCTGAAAGCGACCACATGGCAACACACACAAAGAAACTTTTCTTTCATCTCCTTGCAGTCAGTGTGAAAAAGAAGAGAACCAGCCGTGTTACAATGACAGGAGAAGCTTGCGTGCTGCTGGCTGCTCCTGTATTTCAGCCGCAGACTGATGCTTTTTGAAAGCTCTGCCCCTCCACGCTGTGTCTCGCCGCTAGCCGTTGAGTACAGCCTTTTCTTATTATAAGGAGAAGGAGAGCTTAAAAACCTGAGTTTAGCAACTTATCTGCCCTTCTGAGATGCTCGCTATCCCATCCCTAAGAAAACAGACTGCAGCCCGCGTGAAAACCGATGCTCACCCAGAGTCTCATTAGTTCCATATGATAAATGCTTCATGCTACAGCAAGTTGTTGAAAGCTTTTTATATTTAGCCCTGGAATTTCACTGGCTGCATCCCTTCACCAGATGCTGTGTGCTAATCTCCTGTTTATACCTCTAGGCTGACGCTGGGTAAACCCCTGGGAGAAGGTTGCTTTGGGCAAGTCGTCATGGCCGAAGCGGTGGGGATTGACAAAGACAGGCCAAAAGAAGCAGTGACTGTGGCAGTGAAGATGTTGAAAGGTAAGAAAATGGACTGATTAGGGATCGGGATGGGGGATATGGCAGTTCTCATCCACAAAAAGTTTCTTTTGTGGCATCTGAACTCTGTCATCATCGGGGGGTCAAAGAGCGCATAGCTGACCTCAGCCTTCAGCAGTTTGGGGTGTAAATCTGTGCCCTTGACAGCCTGTTTATCTTGAGCAGTGAGTATTTAGGAGCCAGGAGATGTATTAGCATCGTGTGGGTCTCTCTGCTTTTAGTTTAGTTCATGTCAGAGGCTGTCCATGTGTAGATCCTAGCCCATTCAGTCCAGGTGGTTGATGGCTTTTTATTTTCAATTTAATTGTAAGGTTATTTTGCAGGAAAAGCATAGTTATTGGAGGTTTGATAGCTAAGGACAGCATTTTTATGTCTGATATTACTGTGTTGCCTCTTAACGTATAGCACTGAAGAGGTGGTCAGTCCATCAAAGAGGTTGAGACTATTTTTTGTTAGGACACAACATGACTTTGTATAACATTTTTACTGGGAAACAAGTCCTGTATTCTGCCTTTGGAAGTACACGTGTTTTATACCAAGTGGTGGTTTTCAGTGGAGTTTTGGGCTGGCATGCTACAAAATATGAACTCAACTTGTGTCTTGTACAGATGATGCTACAGAAAAAGATCTATCTGACCTGGTGTCAGAGATGGAGATGATGAAGATGATTGGGAAGCATAAAAATATCATCAATCTCCTTGGAGCCTGTACTCAGGATGGTGAGTAGAGAAAAGAAAGTAAGCCAGGACTTTCCAACAGGTCTGTGAAAGTATCATTAATCATAATTTTTCAAGGATTTTTAAGGAAACAGTCATGCCGTGATGGGATTTTTAGATATTTCCCCAGCTTAGCAGCAATATTTTAACTTCTGTCTCTCATTATACTTGCAGCTTTAATATGAGAAAGGGTACTATATCATATGAAAACTCTCTAATCCCTTGCTGTAGGGGAAAAAAGGATATTTTACAGGGGTTTTACCCATGCCTGTTGTTCTCAATTGTCAGCCCTGCTTTAGTGGAACTTGTATCCCATGAATTTGAAATGAGCACTTTTACTCTCTAAAGACCACAGTGTTTTTATTAAAAGCTAATTATGTCATGTAAAGCAATGCGGAATGGCATAAAATTCTGGAAATTAAAAAAATGCTAAGAAGCACTTTGCCTCTGTCTGAGATCTCATGGCAATTTTTGATTGAAAAATGCTTGCTTTTCAGTACATGGCGTGGTCTGGAAGGGAATAGGCGCTGGGTCAGGGTTTAGGTACTTTCAGCCACTAATTGTAGCTCTGCCACTACCCTGCTGTGGAGGTTTGGACCAGTGACTTCGCCAAGTCCAGACCTCCTTTTCTTTCAAGTTGTGCTTACTGATTTCACAGTTAAACATTTATTGATTCAATTCATTCATTAGAGAACACTAAAAGCTTCTTTACATAAAAACATTTTACCCTTTGATCTTACTCTAGTTTTCACGCGGTTCTGTTTATCCAAAGGGCCGTTGTACGTGATAGTAGAATACGCTTCCAAAGGAAACCTACGTGAGTACCTGCGAGCACGTCGCCCCCCGGGGATGGAGTATTCGTTTGATATTAACAGGGTACCAGAAGAGCAGATGACGTTCAAGGACTTAGTGTCATGCACTTACCAGTTGGCAAGAGGCATGGAGTACCTGGCTTCACAAAAAGTAAGTAGAACTCGGCAAATACCGCACAAAGCGCATGGTGTGTATTTGGCACTTTTTTTTAGTTTAAATTTGTTCTCATCTCATTTGTGTTCAGGAATTTGCTGGGAGAAAGACCTTTCTCAAACAAGTTGCATAATTCATACTCTTGAAAATCGGTGGGAAAATTCATACACTTAGTTTTTAATCTCTGTTTAATAAGATTGCTAAAATGAGGCCCAGAATGGATCATTTGAAATAAATATTGCATACATATCTGCACTTTGAATTCATAAGCACAGGTGGTCACTTGATTACACAAGTCACAGTACTCCACCCATGAGACAGCAAGCACCACTTGCCTTCTGTTTCCAGTCAAATCGACCAAACCAGCTCACAGAGTGGTGTAAAGCAAATGAATTTGTTTCTGAAAGGATTTCTAGAAGGATAAGAGTCAGACTTAAGAAAACCACAAGGTGCCAGGGCAGAAATTGTGAACAGAGAAGGCACTTTGCGCTTTACTTAAAACTGGTGTTTATCAGGAGAGCAAGCTTGATGAAAGAATTTTTTTTTTATCCTGTTGTATCCATAGACACTTATTTCTTCAACTTCAAACTTTTTTTTTTTTAACCAGTAATTTGATTAAATTACAGTTATGAAACCTTAAATAGCCCTGTATAACTAACTCTGTAAACATACTGTGACTTGGTGGACAAGCAATCATAAATACCCTGGGTGTTGTTTGGACCCAGTGTCTAAACCAGAGTACCAGATATTGATGATAAGTACTTCCTGCAAGATATGGAAGTGGGTTTTATGCCGGTTTCCAATCGTGTCCACTCCCAAGTATGGAACTGTTTTTAACCAAAGACCAGAGCTGAGTGTAAACCTCCATTCCTGTTGCATGGGGTCATGATTTTTTTTATTGCTTTTCTGCAGTTGTAGAGGTTGGAGGGGAGGGGGAATCTAGGTCTAATTTTGCTTTTATTCTTTTGTTTTGAAACAGTAATTTTTACTGTAGTAGGGTAGACAGGGTGACATGCATGACACCAAAAGAAAAATCTTCTGATGGAGTAAGAGTGAGTACTGTATTAGGTAAAGCACCTTAGGATATCTCTTTCTAAGATTAATGAAACATTTGCCTGGCGATGAGCCATGTCCCAAGAAAATAGAACTGTTGTGAAAGGAAAGAAAAAATCTTTTGATTGGCATATCTTGAGAACAAGCGTCCGGCTGAGAAGCTCTGAAGTGCTCTTGTAGGTCACTGCCAAGAAGGTGTGCACTTGCACAGACGCACCCAGCAGAACCACTTCATCCTCCATGCAGTTCCTTCGCCAAAACACTTGATCAGCGCTGTGCTGAACTTGACAGTATGTGAGGCATTGCACAAGGCAGAGGGAAAACAAAGGCAGCACATAGTAAAACTGTGCATTCCGGTTCTTCAGATATCCCACCATTTCTGTTTGTATTTCACTAGTTCTCTTCCCCTTAGGGATCCATTTACTGAGCTAGAATAATAAGAGAGCTGGTCTTCTCACGGTATTTCCATCATGCAGGAACTGTGAGAAGGCCAGTGTTTTTGTTATTTCAATCCAATAAATGGCTCACTGAGACTTCAAAAAAGAAAAAAATAATATGTAAAGATGATGTTTGGGCTCCTACTTTTTGCCTTACAAAAAGTTTTTGCCTTGCAAGCAATGGCACTTAGAAAAAATATCCCATTTCCAAAGTTGGATGGATGCTTTTTAAAATTCTGTAGACGTGTCCTCTCCATTGCTCCAGTACGGGTACAGGGCCTGGCCTAGATCATTGCAAAGATACAGCAAATCATGAGGGCCAGAGGAACAGCTATGAAACATCAGATATGGAAATCAATAATGGCACCATTTTGAAGATAGGAATGGGGTATGAGAAAGCAGAGTTCTACTAACAGAAGATGCCAGGGTTTGAATCACTTGGTATTCACTCAGAGACGTTACATGTCATTTGAGATGCTCTGTGGTACCCCCAGCCTGCCGTTTTGGAAAGGCATGGGTCTGCTGTAGATCCTGTGTCGTCCCTGGTAGTCTTATCAAGATAACTTGGATATCCTAGTGTGTCTCAGATGACATGATGAACTTCTATTGGGTGGCTGACTTGAAGTTTCTAGTGTCTCGGAGGATGTTCTTGTAGGGTTTGAGAACAAGGATAGGGAAGTAGGAAGGCTGGTCTGAGTTGTTTCTGCTACTGTAGCATTCGTGATGCTGAATTAGAAGACTGGTTTGATGCTGAAAGCATGTACTGTTGTCTGGTCCTGTGCACATGAAGGCATTGCTGGAGCAGGTTTTTCCTGGCAGTTCCCCATGAGTAACCCAGTGAGGAGCAGAAACTTCATAGGCCCATTTAACCCATGCAGGATAAGAGATCTCAGCAAATTGCTGGGGCAAGTTATAATGCAAGAAAAAAATTGGCTGGTGGTTTGGGGTTTTTTGTTGGTTTTTTTTGTTTGTTTGATTGATTGGTTGGTTTTGGTGGTTTTTTTGTAGTGGTTCAGTCCAACAAGTCTATGCACATGCTGAAATAAAGAGTCCAACATAAAGAGTAATCCAAAAGTTGGGGGAAGGATATTTAACTTGAGAAGAAGTAGAATATCCTGGGGGGATTCCAAACACAATGTTTCTTAACATGCCCCTGCTGCCATCTTGTATCAATCCTAATATGCTGCTTATACACAGGAACGATATCCAGAGCAATCACAGTGTCCTTTCAGTGTCAAGAATCAGTTGCAAGTTTTCAGGATAATGCTGACATGAAGGAAAAAAATCTCTGAGAAGATAACATGTTTAGTTTCAGTATCAAAGCTGTTTTAAAAGCAAACAGCCAAGCCCAGATTGTATTGGGTTTTTTTCCCTTTTCATAATTAAATTTTTATGCTCTCGTGGTTGAAGTAAATACACACACCCTAGCTATCTAGTTTAAAATTATATACTGTGGATATATCTCATATTAAGATCTTCTATATTAAAAACGGTTGTGCTGATCCAGACTGTCAGGTTTTAGCTCTGGTGAGATGATATAATTTTAAGACAAGCAACATAATGAAACATTAATTAACAGTCTTTGTAATGAAAGTGCTGCAATACCTGTACCTGGGCACGTGTAATGGAGAGTGCATCACAAACAGGATGGCACAGTGTGGGTCACCACCCAAGCTTTCAGCCTTAGCAAAATATGTCTTCAGTAAACCAGGCGTTTCTGAGGCTTCTTAGGGCCGTTGTTCAACTTAAAAAACACCAGCTGAGGGGATGAATTGCAGTAATTAAGACAATCATCATTTCACAGGCTTGTAGTAAATGTGTGACTTTCCCACCTTGTGATTTAGGTTAAAATCTATAAAGGAGACTTAGTTACGGTGTGGAAGTAATTTCACTTTTACAGCAGTTTATTTCAGTGGGCCTTTTTTTTTTTTTTTTTTTTTTCCCCCTTTACAGTGTATTCATCGAGACTTGGCTGCAAGAAATGTTTTGGTAACTGAAAATAATGTCATGAAAATAGCAGACTTCGGTTTAGCCAGAGACATCAACAATATAGATTATTATAAAAAGACTACTAATGTAAGTAGATGGTTTTCTTATCTCTGGAAACAAGCATTTCTTTCAATGATTTACTTCAAAACTGTGGTTATAAACTTAATGGGCTTCTTGTACAGCAGCCTCACTTTTCATCACAGACAGAAAACAGGGATCAAGGACACAAGAATTTCTGTTCCCTCATAAAAGGATAGTTAGTTAAAAAGATAACCAAAGAGGCTGTATATTCTGTGATTTATTAGAAATGCTAAAATACAAGAATTAAGTTTTTGTATGTCCCTGACTCCAATCACTTGAAATAAGTGGAAATATTCCTGTTGATTCCAGCTCATTTTGTGCCAAGCCTCGGATCGTGAAAAACTTATAAACAGTGCTAGCAGTAACCATGATAAAAATCCTGTTTTGTGTGGTAATGCCACATACAGCTTTATGCCTTTTGCCTGTACTTATCTTGTTATGTACAGGTTATGGCTGTCATATCAAAGTGGGGCTAGAGGTTGAGAAAATTGATTTTTACTTGCCACTCTGTCACCGTTTTGCTCTTTAGCCTGTACCAAATCAAGAAGATAAAATGTTTCAGATGTAGTTATTGATGCCTAGTTTGAACAGCTTACACCTCCATCTCAGGGGATCTCTTAAGATCCTGATGAGCTGCAGTTGGTTTTTCATGGGAACTTTGCAGAACTCGTTCAGTTCTACAGACTTTAGTATGTTGTATAAATATTAATTATTATTCACAGTCATGTTAAGTGTCTTATCTATGAAAACAAAGCACCGAGTGATTAATGGCATTTTAATGGTAATATCTGCCTGCTTTCAAAAGACAGAGCAACCAGGTATGGGTACGTCAGTACTGGAGGGAATTGAACCTTCTTCATATCAAATTTGGTGCAATTCCTGGGCTCTGAGCAGAGCAGACTTTGTGTGCAGAGCAACAGGCGGTTGTGACAGTGAGATTTGGGTCGCTGCAAAAGCTGGAACAGGAAAACAACATGCTTGGGTTTAGTGATCAACTTACTTTTGCAGGCAAGCTTATCTTTAAGAGGATTATTGATTTGGTTTTGTCTTTAAAGAGCCATAGTGGAATGATCTTTTGAATTTTGATCTGCTTATCCTATCATTCTCCTAGCAAGCAGTGCTTTTAATTCTATCTTCAATGTTTACATCCATTTTTCTTAATGGTCTCCCTACTTCAGCCAATTTTACTATTTTTTTTTTTCCCCCTGAAAATTTCAAAGCTGCATTTTGTGCTGGTTTGCATTAGGTTGTTCTCTGAGAAATTATTAATCCTTTTTTAAAAAAAAATAGGTTTGAAGTCATCCTGTAAATTGCTACTGTTTTAATTTTTCTTCCTTTCCCCTCCAAAATTCCAGGGACGGCTTCCAGTAAAGTGGATGGCTCCAGAAGCTCTGTTTGACAGAGTTTACACACATCAAAGTGATGTGTAAGTGGCCTTATTTGAATGGGGTTTTGGGAGATGGGAAGGAGGGTTGTTTTGGTGTGCATTTGTGAAATTTTGGGATATTTTAAATGTATTTTCCTGTTGTCCTTTACCTTTAAGTGTTTTCATTCTGTTTCACATATTAATAGATGGAACAGGACTTGCCCTTAGAAAGTGAGGATTTTATGGTAGACTGCTAACCAGTGCTCTGTTACTAATCTGCCCAGCTTCAAAGCACATGAAAGGTGGAAAATGCTAACCTCCTTCTGTCAGTGCGGAAGTTTCCCCCCTTGAACTTATTTACGGATGTGCAGCTACAAAGAGTCTATCTAATTTGCTTGGCTTTTGACATACTCTGGACTTCCTTCAGGTTTAAAAAAAGAAGAAAAGAAAGAGAGAGAGAGAAAAGAAACTCCCTGAAAACTTATTATAAAAATTTGTGCTAGGATTAGGTATGATCAAACATAGGTTGGATATAGTGGAAAAATTTTCTCTGATTTTTAGAAGTGTTGTTGCATCCCAGCCGTAGTTCACATGTAGTAGGAAATCATTGGACTCTGACACTTCAAAATCTTTTAATGTGTGCACAGAGTCACTGGCTGATGCAACCGCTCAGGATTTATTCTGCTTCCTATTACAGTTTCCTAGGCCCATTTACAGTACTCCTGTGCATTGTGCTTGAAGTAGACCTGCATTTTTTATGCAATGCAGATGAAGATCTTATGGTTTTTATTTCTCCAAGAGAAGCTGTTAACTGTAAAGGGCTGGATGCTTCCCAGCACAGGTGTAAAAGGTTATACATGTCAGTGCAGGGTAAAAAGATAAAGAGCACTGTGGAGAAAATAAAGAGGTATCTCCTCTATCTTTAACCTGGGTGCACTTCCTGAGCTACTCTCTCCTTAAGAAAAGCATTTATTGATGCTTTTCCTGCAATCTTTACATTATTTATGAAGGAAGCTATACACTGGTTAAGGGTGGATCAACTTTTGCTTTAAAATATCTTGGGGGAAAAAAAAAAAACATCTTGGCAAAATATTTCCGTGAATGTGAAGTAAACTACTTCACTGGTTCAGGACTGAAAGTCAGTCTGAGCTCCTCAACAGTCAGGGAGCACGAGGATTTCAGTGCTGGAACTTGGAGACTCTTGGCCCCATGGTGGCTTTGAAGATGGCTAAAGATAATATTATTGTAAGTTTGTGCAAACAGTTTACTAAAATACAGTGGGAGAGCTGCAGAGAAGCTCAGCAGCCAGTGCAAGCTGTGTGGTGTTGCTCACCTGGCAAAGCCGCCTGCCAGAGAGCCCTGGGTTGCCAGCAAGGCATGATGAGGCAGGCTCTGGAGGAGGTGGCAAGCAGGCAGGAAAACTGGCTTAAAATGATCGTCCTTCATTCCCAAACAAAAATTAATAATAAAAAAAAAAGAAAAAGAGAAGAGCAGAACGATGCAAAATATTTTTGTTTTGAACAGTCTGCTTTTTCCAAAATACCCTGCCGCAGAATTGCAGCCTAGCTCCGCTGTGAGCGTTCTGTAAATAATTAAGCTGTGAAGAGACAGTTCCTTGCAGTAGCCCTGGAAATTCGGGTGCTCGGAGCACACCAGACAAAGGCAAAAGAGTGTGTTTACAAATATGCTCAGGTTAGTCCCTGTTGTTGCCCATGCACCTGATGTGCTTCACAGATCGATGTCTTGCTCAGGGTGGTTGGAGTTGGGCAGATGCTGATTTAAGCATCTCTCCTGAGAGGGCTCGGTTGTCGCTGCATCAGCCACAGACACATCTCTGTTTTCAGCAGTAAATCTACTAATGCAGTATTCGCTTTGATTTGTAGTTGGTCGTTTGGTGTGTTAATGTGGGAGATCTTCACGTTAGGAGGATCGCCCTACCCAGGAATCCCAGTGGAGGAACTTTTTAAGCTGCTTAAAGAAGGGCACCGAATGGATAAACCTGCCAACTGCACCAATGAACTGTAAGGACCTTTATTTGCTATAGCAGGATTGAAGGGCACAAACTGTACTGAATTCACATGGCAGAATCAAACATTTTCAGAATTGCTTGACTCTAAAATTGTGTGTGTATATATATGTGTGTATCGATATGTAAAGGAAAGGTATGAGAAGGTCTTCAGGAAACGTTTGACAGAGGGTACTTTTTTACACACCCTGCTGTGATCCCATTGAAAAAAGATCATCTACCAGCCAGTCTTTGTCAGTGTTTTCACGTGCATATTTGTTAATTTGTTTCATTGTTTCAACAAAATAAATCTGGGAACTTCAGCATTATCTCCTGATGATGAGGGGAGAGTGTTTTCCCTTTCTAATATTTCAGTGTAGCCCTTAACTATTTTTATTTTTTTTTCCCATTTTAATTTCTTCAATTCACAAAGACTGCAATCCCTAACATGCAAAAATATTTAAGTGTGTGTAATTTAATATCATTGACATTCCTGGGACGGGAGGCTACAGAATCAGGTCCACAAAGAGGTAATTTAGACACTGGGCAAGGGAGATGCAGGAGGGAAGTGAGTATTGCACAATTTTGGGAAAGTCAGTGGTCCAGTGTAGGGCTGTGGGGGATTGCTCTTTTACTTGTGATGGCGAACATTGAATCTGTATGAAAAGGTTTGCAAGAAGGACGCGTGATCTTAATTAAGCCAAGAAAATGTGTATTTCTTACAGCTATATGATGATGAGAGATTGCTGGCATGCTGTGCCTTCACAGAGACCGACTTTTAAACAGTTGGTAGAAGACTTGGATCGGATTCTCACTCTCACAACTAATGAGGTAGGTAAATTGTTTCCCTCCGTAAGCTGCTGATCAGAACAAATGGTTCAGGAGACAGATGGAATTTATTCAATTATGAAATCCTGCTCGAGTTCTCTTGTTCTGTTTGTTGTTGTTCTCTGAGGTTACATGCAGCTAAACTATATGTATCCTGTGAAATCCTCAGTTTCTTGCCATTATGCCTGATCAATATAACTAAACAGAAAAATATCTTCAAAGTGTTTTTCTTTATTTCTCAATGCATCTTTTGATGTTTTTTAGCATAGCAGTATCAAGGGACTTCCATGCAGCAGGTTGAGAGGCAATGTTTATGTTTCAACATGATTTTCCTGTGAAGGAGAGATGTAGAGTTCGTGGTGCTTTTCATTTATCAACTCAGTTTGATTCCCAGCCATGATATCTAGGTCAGAAGAGGAGAAACAGTCAATGGTAGATTTCAGATTATATGTCTGAGAGTGAATTAGGTTCACTGAAATAGCTCTCTGTGGAGGGAACGAGGACCCACGGGGAACATGCAAACAGCCATCCAATTATCTAAAGGTCCTGCTTAACAGTGCTTCAGGTTGGGATAGATGAATGCAAAAAGGTTTTATTTGAAGAGCATTCTTTCAGAGGTCTGAGAGATTATTAATTTTAGCAAGGAACACACTGATTAGGGTATTCGCACAGGAGTTGGTTCTCTTATTGCTAAATCACATGCGCCTTTGAGGAAGATCACAAGTGATGGAAATGTTGCTTCTTTTAGTGGAGACTTCTTTTGAGGGAAAATGCTTGGTGTTCCAAAAAACATTTTACAAATTCCTACAATTTCTGAGAAATGATATGTATAACGAGAGGAAAGAAAAGTAACAAAATGCTTACAGAGGAGAGTTGCGATAACTTGTTTTGATCATTTCAAAATAAATTTTTCAGATTTGCTATGACTATAAGGGTGGGGGGGGAAGAGGTAGAAGAAAAAGATTTGAATCACTTTAGATTGGTCCTCAACATTGCTCTCTAGATTTTCTGAATTGCCAGAGAAATAAAAACCAGACTATTAAGCAGCATTAGGAAAGGCTGTGTCCAATAGAGACTACAAGAGAACCTGAGTGAAGAGGTGCCATTTTTTATGATCATTTGCCCAGTAGATCTGGTTGAAAAATATTTTTGCTTCAGTAGCCGCTATCTGGATTGTGTTTACTTTAAGTGACACGTTCAGGGATGGCTCAGAGATGAGGCAGGAGTATGTGCTCCCTACTGAGTTGGTAATGTAGCTCCGTGCACCGTTACCATTTTCGCCTCATCCAGTGTTGGCTGCATCTTTTTCTGCCTAATTTATATATGATTTCACAAGACCGGTTGGAGGTGGGCTGGCTGCCACTGCGGAGTGCTGGGTGGCTTGGACTGGATATGCATTTGCAAATTCAAGAAGGAGGTTATGGGCTGCAATTCTAAGCCTGGGAAAAGATATTGCTTTCTTTTTTCTGTGTTTAACCATCTTGCCTTCCCAATTCTGTACTGCTCATGGACCTGGAATGATCTCAAAGGTAACCTGAAAAGGCCTTTAGGGTTATGTAAATTACTTCAGACTGGAATCGTAGGAAAAACGGCTGGAAAAAGCTCAGGAACACATCCAGTCCATCTGATCGGCCTACGGCAGCATCCACTATACGTTTGTCATTCCTGACAGATGTTTATGTAACTTGTCCTTAAAGATCTCCACGGCTGTATTTCTGCATCACCCCTTGACAGTCAATTGCTTTGTTTCATTAGCCTTGCTTCTTGAAGTTTTTTTCCTAATCGCTAATCTTTCAACATAAGTTACTGCTTTTGTCCTATTCGCCTTGGACATAGAAAGCAAATTATTTCACTTGTCTTTGCAAGACACTTTATGTTCCTGTAAACTCGTCGTGTTCTCACTCAGTGTCTCCCAAGAACTCCAGTGTGTCCCACTTTCCTCCGTAACTTTTGAGACCTTTGATTTTGTGTATTCCACACCATTTTCCCAAAGCTCAGTCCTCTCTGCGTCAGTGTGACTTCTGTTTATTCTCTCCACAGTGGAACTTTCCCCCCAGAATGACTCTGTACAGGGTCAGCCTAATTTATGCAACAACTCTAAGAATTGCTAGGGCAGCCTATAATATCTTTTTCTGCATTTGTGCAAGTAATTATTTCTGCTTAAATGGTAGTGCCTTGCTCTTCTCCATGCTGAATCATCACCTGGGGTTTTTTATTGGTGGTTTGGGTTTGGGGGGGCTTTTTTGTTGATTTTTTTCCCCAAAAGACCCTATTTCCCCTGTTTCCCAGAGTAGCATGGAATGTTTCCCTGAGCCACATGAGCAGAAGTCACCAAGAGTGCTGTGGTGTTATATCAACACCAGGAACTGATACTGGAAACTTCTTATGCCCCTTTTATGTGTCTCTGGCCCTTGACATTGGATGAAGAGGTGGAGAGGGAATAAGGATCCCATTTTCAATACTGAATTCATAACTGAATTACATCAAGCCTTTTGATATGACAAGCCATGCCTGATATCCCTTGAGAAGGCCTTGTTTCTTCAGATGCTGGAATACTTTCTTCTTCGATCTGTCTAGAAAGTGCTTGATTATTTCTGGTCATGTGGGACTGGTTTACTAATAAGTAAATAAGTGTCAAGATCTTCCTCGTGGATTTTTTGAAAGCCTAGGCAGCAAGATAGGCAGTAATCATAGATCCAAACTGCCTTCTCTTGTTGCCTACTGTATTTGTCAGCATTTTAAACTTACATTCTCCCCCTCTTTTAAAATGGTGACTATAATATGGTAATGATTGAATTTCTGACTTAAAATATGTTAACCAAGAACTAAATTACCCCAAACCTTAAGCACAGCAGTATAAAATACTGACTGAGGTGGAAGACTTGTCTCGTCAGTACGATCATAACTTGTGGTTTAGCAAATGAAGAGATTGCATTTAAATGAATGCAGCTGCCTTTAGAAGTTGAAAGAGAAGGAACATTTCAAGGGGAAAAATAACTTTATTCTCCTGCCAAAACTGTTGTTTCTAGCAAAAGAGCCTTAACCCGAAACTTGGATTCAGCAGATATTATTTCCTTTTTTAATGACTGCTTTGGTCATGGCTACTCTGGGACACACACACACACACACACACACACACACACACGAATATATAGTGTAAAAAACCCAAATCTATTGAATTTAATTTTGTTTTTCTTTCAGTTCTTTTTTTTGCACGTATGCCACTGCATGTTTAAACACAAATCTAATATCACAGAATATAAAACAGATATTCAAACTGACCAAAGGAATATAAAGTTGGAAGTATCTTTCCCTCTCCAAATCATTACCATGTGCTAAAGAAAAATGGTTCTATTTAGGATGAAATTTCATTTTTATCATTGTGAGTGAAAAGTCATCTTTTGATGTGGTTGGCATGTTTATTTCCACTGACGCGGCTAATGCTGGTGATGTTGGACTTCACAAAAGTACCGTGTTATTGGTTTTCTTTTTCTTTCTCTATTCAGGCTCCTTGTTTTAAAAGATATTTAAGCAACAGGCAGTTTTGAATGCAATTACGTTACAGAAATGAGTGCCATTTTCAAACTGTTCTTTTAATCGCTGTGTAATCAAGCCAAATCAGAGCAGTGCTAACGTGTTATTGTCAGTTTTACTCACTGTCTGAAAATGCAATTTATTTCTTTTGACATAGGAGTATCTGGACCTCAGTGGACCTCTTGAACAGTATTCACCCAGTTACCCGGACACGAGGAGTTCGTGTTCTTCAGGTGATGACTCTGTTTTTTCTCCCGATCCAATGCCTTATGAACCTTGTCTTCCCAAGTACCAACACATGAATGGAAGTGTTAAAACATGAAAAGAAATCATACAGAAGAATAAAGAAACAAGAACATCAAGCTACCTACCATATACAAAACAGAATCCTTTTCTCCAGGACGTTAATGTTTCTGCTTGTACATATGAAATATGATTAAAAAGTTAAAAAAAGAAAACTTGGAGGAAAGCAGTCAGAACCTATATAAAGAATCTCATAATTTGCAACTTTCAAATATTCCCAACAAAGAAGAATGTTTATGAGCTGTGTCTAGATACCTGTCACTATCAATTTTCTGGCTTCCTGTAAGCTGCAACAGACTTTGTTTGTACAATGGACCAGTTGGACTTGAGGCAAACTCTGGGTCTGCCTTTCTTGTTTATTTTGTAATATTTGGAGAAAATATATGTTGGCACACACTTACAGAGCACAAATGCAGTATATAGGTGCTGGATGTATGTAAATATATTCAAAATATGTATAAATATATATTATATATATTTACAATGAATTATTTTTTGTATTGATTTAAAAATGGATGTCCCAATCCACCTAGCAAATTAGTCTCTTTTTTAACAGCTATTTGCTAAATGCTGTTCTTACACAGAATTTCTTAATTTTCACCATCCAAAGGTGGAAAATACTTTGCTTTCAGGGAAAATGGTATATCATTAATTTATTAACTAATTGGTAATGTACAAAACAGTTAATCGTTTATAGGGTTTGTTGTGTTTTTGTAATTTAAATGGCATTTCTATGCAGGCAGCACAGAGAACTAGTAGATATATTGCTCAGACTTTACTAGTTTTCAGATCTTTAAAAAAAGAAATATTTACAGTATATAACTAATTTTTGGGAGGTAAACTTTTGATTTATTTGTGTTCAAAAACTGCAGTGTCAGGTGATTATTCTTATCAAAAGCAAATCCTTTAACAAGAAAGTCTTTTATTCTCAGTATCTGTCACTTTAACAATTTAACTCTTTAGTGATGTTTCCCATGGCCAAAAAGCAGAATCATTCCAAACACACACAGACACACACAAAAAATACCCAACAACAAAATTTTTTTAACGAGGGTTCCTAAAGTAAGGAAAGACATGAATTTGTCTATAACCGTAGCAGAACTTACTGCTCTAAAAGGAGCTGAGCTTCTACCCTGAGTTGCACATGCATCAAATTAACTACAGTTCTCTTCCCTGAGTTGGATAATAGGTTCCAGACCTTTTCGCCTGGATCTCTTGCCTTTTAGACTACCCTCTATTGTAACTTAAGTTTAAAAGAGAGAAGTTGTTTATAATGACAATTTGCCATAGGAATATCAGCATCTTTTTAAAGGATTAATTCATGCTGACTCCAGTATTTCCTTCTGATCCATTCCATAACAGTAGGTATAGCACTGGCCTCTGCTAAAATATCACTGTTGTTTGTATCTTTTTACGGAAGTCTTGTGTTTTTACTTTCAGAACACTCACACTGATATGGCCATGCAGTATGAATGCAAATTACACTGTTTTTTATGTGGTGGTGTTTTGGGGTTGTTTTGTTTTGTTTTTAAATTGGGTAAAAAAAAAAAAAAGTATTAAATTCTGTTAACTTTTGTACTGACAATAAAATGTTTCTACAGATATTAATGTTAAAATTACAAAATAAATGTCATGCAGCTTATTTTTCCTAATCCTTTGTGTGATACAAAATGGTTTCCTGAACATCAAGTGATGGAACGCATCCAGAAATGCTTCCTTTTGCCCTTATTGTAGATCCTATATTACAAAGCAATTCTTTCAGGAATAATACTGTTGCCTCTGTCTTATAAAATGTCTGCTCATGAATAACGTGGGTTATTTGAGTAAACATACGTACAGTCTTTGGTGTTTGTGGGCTTGGGACACTATATGCTGGAAAATTATTTGAAATGTTCATAGTGTAAACATAAAATATATTTTCTTTTTACTTAGGTTGTGTCCTCTAATTAGTGAGGTTTCTCATTCAGACTGGAGATGTTGGAGGACCATTTCTATAAGAGATTTTTAAAAAATCATGTGGAAAGAGAGTCATCATGGAAAGTGAATTTTTTTTTTTTTTTTTTAAACTTGAAAACAGAAGGAAGACACACCAAAATATCTGTGCTTGAGCCAGAAATGGGACGTTAGTCACGTTATTTATGGTCATGTATAGTCACGTTATTTATGGTCACGTTACTGTTGTAGGCTAGCCAGAAAAGCGTTACTGAACCTGGTCTTCACCACATGCTGTAAAAACACTCCAGACACCAAACTATTCTTTGGTGTCTTTTCATCTCTTTCTACTTTGACCAGAAATCCCATACCAATCCCAAGAAACACCCTAAAAAAGTGCCCATTAAAAACTGGTGTTTTCTAACTGATTGAAAAAATTCCCACCTCCTTTAAAAAAAAAAAAAAAGAAAGAAACCAACCCAAACAATTCCCTTTCCCCATGACATCTATTACTATTAGCAGCAGCGGTAGCTACTGTCTGACAGAAACCACAGTATTCTTAATGTGACATGTCTCCTTTTAAAATTCTCTTAAAGGGTATCGGGAGATCTTGAATCTTGGTCTGCTCGTACTGAGATGAATTTAAACACATCTTTATTACTTTATTTTTTTAAAATAAAAGTACATTAACACTTAGAAACATGGTGGAAAGGAGCTGTTAAATAATGTTATTTAGTTACCTTTGTTTTGGTTTAAATTGTTTATTTGCTTTTCCTCTGTTGATTTTTATTTTAGCTCTCAAAGATTTAGATTTGCACCTTGGAGAGAGACCACAATTTCACAAACTCAATTTCTAGGGTAGAAGCAGAACATCCTTCGTGTGCAGAGTTGCAAGAGGAAATTGGGCAGCAGAAAATAAAACCCAACATTGAAATTTGTCTGAAGGGGACATAATTCTTTATTGCACTGCTGTCTTTGGCTCTTTCATGAGAAGTAGGGGTTAGGAATTTGGATTCCTATCTCATCTGAAAATAAAGTTGCCACTAATAACAGGAGTAATACTGAAAAGTAGCATTATGTCAGGAAATGAATTTATATTGATGTGGATAATGAGGATTATAATTCTGTGTATAATGTTTCCTGCAGCACCTAATTGTTTCTTGTTCCTCGTTTAAGTATTGATTCAAATCAACATTGTAATATATGAAAAAATATAGATGTAGAAACCAAGTTTATAACGGCTCAAATCCACAAACGAGTTCATGTTGCCTATTTTGGTTTTTTTTCCACTTTATAACAAGTAGCATGGGCTATATACAATCGGATTACAAGATAGCTTCTGTCACTTTTTCTGATGAATTCATATCACTCAGTATCTGTTTTGTTATGCTTTTACAATGTGTTCTGACTTTCAAATATGTCAAAAGACAAGTTTGCTTTTTTATTTCTGGAAGTGACATGAGCAAAGCTGGGTAGCAAATCTAGTAATTTTCCTGTCTAGCCACTGAGAAAAGAGTGCCACAAAACCCTGAGGTCTAGAGACCGTCTTTTGAGTGAACGATTCGGTTATCTCAGTGTAATTAATTAAACCAAGAGGAGATTAAGAGTTGTCTCGATCAGGGCATATAAGCTGCTGTTTGAGTAAAATGCTTTTTAATAATATAGTTCTCTTCCATAAAAGCTCCAGACCCAGTGCCTGAAGGTGGAGCAAGGCCCTTCCAGGCTAGGTGGAAAGGTGATAGAAGCAGTGTACCGATGGGTGCCGTCGTCCTTCCCCCCAGTTGGAGAAAATGTGATTTCCCGTGACTCAAGGGTGAGCAACATTCAGCAGCCCAGTGAGCTGGTTATAATGTTTCTTCTTGTCCTCCAAGTCTGTGATGGGAAAGTTCTGTCATGCAGATCTTGAACGGCAAGTTTTGGAGACTTTTGCAGTTCAGGAAACTTCAAGTATGTGCAGAGTGGCTACTTGAATCAGTGTCTGACTGTTATGTTAAGAAAAAGTAAACTGTTAGCAGACGAGTCCTGTAGCAAACCTTCAGACGTTTTAGTTTTATTTGGATTGGATTTAAGTAGCCTAACATAATCAAGGGAAAAAACTGATGCAAAAAATTGGCTATTCTGAGAAGGGGAAAAAAAAAAAAAATCCATAGGAGGGGAAAAAGAAGCCAACCGACACCTGTTTTTGAAAGGTCATTTGTCCATTCAGTATTCAGGAAGTTCTAGATCTGCGTAATTTGATCTAGTTGTTATAAAAATATTTAATTGATTTTTTTTCCACAATAAATATAATAAATTTGTTGTGATGAAGTGTAAGTGACCTCCAACAATTTGTACTTGGAATGATGATCAATCCTCCTGTGCCTGTAAATATGTCTGTGTGCTTCTGAGCTTTCGTCACTGTGAGTCCTAAACGTTACAAGCAGCTTAAATGGAATAGACGTTGTGGAGTAAGTCGTCTTTTTTAATCCCCTTTTACCTATGTAAGACTTCTGTCAACCAGATTTTCCATAAAACTCTGAAAGGAGAGAGAAGGTGGAGGCAGTCATTCTCTTCAAAAGCATACAGAGACAGAACAAGGGGCAAGAGGCACCAATTGCATCAGGATTTCTGTCTGGAATTTAGAAACCATTTCTTCACTGTGAGACCACTTGGACACTGGGATAAACTGCCTAGAGAAGCAGTAGCATCTGCCTGGCTTTAGGAATTCAAGACTTGGCTTGATGGGGATGTGGATGACTGAATCTAAGGCCCTGCTTTCAACACAAGGTTGGCCAAGATGATTACTGGTCCCTTCCCGCTGAAACTTTTCTGTGATTTTGCATATCTGCGTTATTGGCCAAAGGTAACCCAGGTCTGCAGATGAGTTCTGGAAAGCTGCGCTGGCTCATGCTGAGGTTGTCAGTAGGATGTACCGTTCAGTAAATTCAATTTAGTAATGCATTTAACAAGAGAGAGATCCCCCTCTATTAAGGCATTTGGATTTTAAAAGTCAGGTCCTGGCTTGCTTTTGACTTTCACAGCTGGCCAAAAATTTTCTGACTGAATTCTTATGCAGTGGAAAACTGTTTTGTCAAAGGCTTTCTAAAGCACGAGGGTCTTGCAGAAGATATTTTGACGTTAACAGAATGACACGACCCTATTGGAGTCATCTTGTCGGAAGGAAATGAAGTCATTTTATGTTGCAGCTATTTAGTAGTAGACAATAATATATAAAGTAAAAGTAAGAATGGAGTATACTGATTTTATCAAGACACAGTGGTTAGACTACCTCAAAGTGACACCCAAATAATTGCATTTTTAAATTGTTTTATTTCCAGTTCAGGCGCTGATGATATTTTCTCCAAGTACAAGAATTTCTGGAGGAATAGACTCATAAGTATCAGTGATGTTTATATTGCTCAGAGTCTGTATCAATATTTTGACAGACTTTTTCCTGATGTACCACCTATTATCCCCTACAACCAGAATGCTGTGAGTGAGGCCAGGAGCCAGTATATCTCAGGAGGGTTTGTGAGGAGCCTGGCACCTTTTCCACCGACCAGCACCATGCACTGGGAGCAGGTTGCCTCCCCTGAAATAGTAAATTACAGGGCAAGCTTTTCCAAAGCCTTGAAGGATTTCCAGGGAGGACTAATATTTCCTTGTGGCAGAGGAGCAACTCATCTCTTCTGCTGTGGCATCGTGCCTTTCAATTGTCCGAGGCAATAAAGAGAGAGTGGAGAAAAAGGACAGCAAACAAGACCCCCAGTGTCACTGCTGTCTGGAGAAATCTATGACCCATTATACTGGAACCAAAGTGAATTGCGATTTGTGGGAAAAAAAAAAAAAATCAATACTGCCAAGGACTGTTTTTTTTATAGACATATCAGAGGAGGTAGCTAAGGTGCAACATTTTGTCCAGACATGTTTCCCTGGCAGAACTGTATTTTTTAGGACTATTCAGCAGCATACAGTACTTTCTTTTCCAAAAGTTTGTTGCTGCCGAGATGCACAGACAGCTGAATACTGCTGTGTTGCTAAATTCGGTGAGGGATCTGCCATGGGAATGATGGCTTGGGTATTCAGAAGAGCAGACTACATCTGGGTCTGGAAAGAGGAGAGGGGGTGTGATACCAC